CCATGAGATTTCCACCGTTCTACCTATAGTGACCAGTCCCTCCCTGTTGGTGTGACTCAGATCCATGATAGAAAATGCCCCTGTCAGTTACTTGTCAGTTTTGGAGGATGAAGTAATCATTAATCAAAATTTAAAAAAAAAAGTTGTTACCTGCTTCAATTTTAGAAAGTGAAGTAGAAGAGCTTCAGCTGATTTCTGGATAGGTGAATTTTCCCATCACTGCTATATCATAGCTCTTTCTTCCCACTTGGTTTGTGGTATGCTCTGATCACAAAATCATGTCTGTTTCTGCTTTCACTCATTTTCACTTAAATTCTCTGTACTATGCTTCCCTGTTCTGATTCCTAGAATTTCTCATATAAATATAACTTCTTAATATATGCTGCTACTCCATGTTCCCTTTTAAACTGTTTTTAAGAATTTTAAATAAGGTATCCCATTCAGAGCCATATTCCTCTAATTGGTATCATCCCACACAGTCTCAGTGATAACTATGAGGCCAATTTTCCCTATTATATTAGGATCTCTTTCATGTCGCTGGTTGCTTAAATTTTGAGCATTTGTGTAAAGAGATGTCTGGCACTTATTAAGTACTTAATAAATGTTTATTGACTAATGGAGACATGTCAGGCTGTGAATTTTGCTTGTCAATCCTTCATGGATTATTTCTCCTATGAGCCTATTGGTGTCTCTGTAGGTACTCTTTTCCCCCCATAAATCACATCTGTGACTAAGTAGATGAGTCCTACGTTATTGCCTGAGATACTTAGTGGTGAAGCAACTTGATTAGGGTCATAAAGACAGTAAGTATCAGATTCTGAAACTGAACCTAAATCTTCTTGTCTCTACATTCAGCACTCTAAGCCACTAAGTCACATTGCCTCTCGTTTTTCCTTATGCCTTGGAATTCTTTTGTTATTGTTTCTTTTGGAACAATAATAACTAACAATATACTTTCCCCTCTCTTGTCTTTTCATGAAATATTCCTTTGATAATTACTGCATACCATCCTACTTCTCATAGAATGTGAAAGTTGGAGGGATATTGGAGATTTATTCATTTGGTGGATATGTATTAAGTAACTGTTTCCTATGTAGAAAGTGTTGTTCTAGGCACTAGATAGAGACCACTGAATCCAATCCTTAGATTTTACAGGTAAGATAGCTAAAAGAGGAAAAGTGGCCCTAGAGGTATTTTGTGGAGGATCAGCAGTAGGAGCCAGGTCTTCTTACTTCTTACTCTCAGACCAAAATTCTTTTACCCACACCATGATTACTGCTATATAATACAGGAAAAATGAGTATATTATTCAACTACTCTCTGTACTTTGATTTACTGTTTTCAAGATATGTCAAGTCAGCAAGCATTTATTAAGTTCTTAGTATATGCCAGGCACTGTGCTAAGCACTGAGAATATAAATACAAAAGCAGGCAGTTCCTGCCCAAAGGAAATTACATTCTAGTGAGAGAAGACAATACATAAAAAGGAGCTAAAAAGCAGATATGAAAAGTAAGTAATGTTTCTGTAGCATTATACAAGATTTTCATAGGGTCCTAAACAACATTGGAAAGGACCTTATATGTGAATTCAAAAATAAAAAAGAGATTTTAATTAATTACATACCTTTAATCTATACTTATTTTAATCCCACCATAAATACAAATATTTGCTTTATTAGTGCTATCCATGTTGTCTTTAATTTCATTATTTTTTTTAACATTTCTTCTGTGCACAACATATATTTACTGCTACTATTATTGTCTTTAGTCTTTAACTACAAAGTTGTAATCATTGAGTATATTGTCTTCATTGCCTGATTGTTTTTTTCTTAATTCCATATCACTTCATATGATTCTTCTTATAATATAATTTGGGAAGATATGAGATTTAATTATCATGAGGAACTCCCAGTGAAGGTTCTTTTTTCTAGAACAGATCAAAACCCGTCTATGTCTGAGACAGCAAGTCCTATGGAGTTTAAATCACTTACGAGTGATTTGTCCATGATCACATGGCTAAAAAGTGTCAGGGAAGGAAGTTGAACCCAGTTTTTCCTGATCCTGTGGATAAAACACTTTCTTAATTATGTCTCACTGTATCTCAAGTTATCCCATATTTCTTTGAATTCTTCATATTCATACTTTATTATAGCAAAATAGTATTTCACTTCATGTAAATACCATAATTCTTTTCAGTCACTCCTATTAATGGGACACCTAGTTTGTTGTCAATCATTTGCTCCTATGAAAAGTTCTCCAAAGACTGTATATAGATAGGCCCTTCCCCCTCTCCCAATTACCATTAACCATCTAGGGTATGAGGGCAGCTGTTTTCTCAGTGGATAGAGTGCCAAGCCTGAAGTCAGAAATACTCATCTTCCTGAGTTCAAATTTGGCCTCAGACACTTACTACTTGTGTGACCCTGGGCAAATCATTTAGCCCTGTTTGCCTCAGTTTCCTCATCTGTATAATGAGCTGGAGAAAAACGTAGCAAATCATTCCAGTATCTTTGCCAAGAAAACTCCAAATGGGGTCATAAAGAATCAGGTATGACTGAACAACAACATCTAAGCTATGTGTAATCTCAATGGTAGGACCACTAGGTTGAAGATCATGAACATTTAAAAAATATCTTTGCATAATTCCATATGCTTTCCACAAAAGGTTAGACTAATTTATAACTATTTCAGCAGTATCAGGATAGTTTTCCTGGTTGCCAATTTCATTCCAGGATTAATTTTTTTTCTTATCTTTACTGATTCATTGGGTATAACAGCTTCAGTCTTCTTTTGCTTTGTATTTTTTTTTTTATTATTAGAGATTTTTCAACATTTTTTCCATGTCAATTATCTGTGTTCCTTAATGAAAAGAACTGCTAGTTCATATTCTTTGACTGTATGTTAAGGAATGGCTTTTATTCTTATACATGTATATCAATTATATATATTTTTAATATTAAAATTATGACAAAAGTATAAGAAAAAAATCAGCTGCCTCTCTAATGGTGTGGACATTTTAGGCTACATTTTCCTATAATCAGTCAATAGTTTGGAGACTCAGAGTTAAGAAGCAGAAACCTTGGTATTCTTGGCTCTTGTCTAATCATTTACTTTCATATTCACCAAATCAAGTTTTGGGATTCAGAGTTTGCATAGAAAGCATATGAACAATTATGAGTGATGTCAAATAGCATTCATTCAAATCTATTTCTAGTTAAACAAGTCAGATATAATGAGAGTGAGTGGGGTAGGCACACTTTTGGTTGAATTGTAAATTGGTCTAGACCTTCCATTTACACATTTGGGATTATCTGAGTGTAACCTAGGCTACACAGGACATATACAAATATTCCCTGCATAATTCCTATAAATGATGTGAGAACTTTTTTTGGAAGGAGTGAGTGGGTGGGTGTTGGCTATCAGACAATTTTTGCTTATCAATGAGTTACCTAATTTGTTGCTGAACCAGAACACCATGTGTATGCATAAAAAGGGAACTTCCCCACCGTTACTCTCTTCCTTTTGGCTTCAAAAAGTGAGGACTGATTTGAGTAGCCTCCTAAGAACTGGGCTGGGGGTAATGGGTTAGCCAAGAGTCAGATATGCTAAAATACTGGAAACCACCAGAGCCACAAAAGGCCATTAGATTGACAGAGAGTAGCAAAGGTTCAGCTTTTGCTTTCTTCAGGGCTTTAGAGCCAAAGAACTTGGAATTATCTGACAGTTTGTTAGTAAAATCCAGACACATTTTTATTCCATTTGCCTTCAAACATGCTTACATCTCCCCCAAGATTCCACAAGGAGCATATACTACATTTATCTTCTTAACTGAGAAAACTGAGACCTTTCAATATGAATGTTCTTTTTTACCATTCTCTTTAACTCAAAGCCCCTTGACATCATTTGCCACTCTCTACTCCTTTTTCCCAGCATCTGAAAAACAGTTGGCTTTTGTCTTTGCCAAGGCCAGCCTCTTTACATATGCAACTGATGCTATTTCATTCCATCTTCTCCAGCACATTGTATCCAAATATAATACTTCCTCTCAAATTTTCATTATCATTATTAATAATGATTACAATAAAATAGCATTATTGGAGCAGCTAGTTGGCATAGTGAATAGAGTGCTGGGCCTGCAATCAGGAAGACCTGAATTCAAATCCTGCCTCAGATACTTACTAGCTGTGTGACCCTAAGCAAGTCACTTAACCACTGTTGGTGTCAGGGGTCTCATCTGTAAAATGGGGATAATAATAGCACATATCTCCCAAGGTTGTTGTGAGGATCAAATGAGATAATGATTGTAAAGCACTTAGTACAGTGTTTGGCACATAGTAAGTCCTATATAAATGTTACTATTGTTATCATTATTATAATTAATGCTATATTATCTTTGACTTTTTTGGTTTATGTGTCTGGCAATGGAATTGGCATGTTAAAGAATATCAACAGTTTAGTTTTTCTTGAATAATTCCAAGTTATACACAGAGTAGTTGCACCATTTTACATCCCTACCACTAGAATATTATTGGGCCTATATTCCCACAACAATGGGCAGTTAGGTGGTACAGTGGATACAATGCCAGACCTGGTGTAAGGAAAATTCATCTGCTTGCATCAATTTCTCATCTGTAAAATGAGCTGGAGAAGAAATGGCAAACCGATGAGGTCTAGAGGTTAGGGGTCCTGGAATCTCAAAATCATGATATGTGGGTCCTGCCCAAAAGAATTTGACCCAAGCCTTCTTTCAGCCAAAAACAAGGTTTATTGAAGATTCGCCATGTTAGCTAGACTCTTAGGAATCTGAGCATCTTTGGGTTATTGGCTAGATTATAAAAATCTGCGCGTCTTAATGGAGACAAGATGGACCTTATACACAGAAAGAGTGTGGGAGGGATCCAGGAGTGGCCAAGTAGTCTATGAAGTAATACCTAAGAGTGGCCAAGTAGTTTATGAGGTAATAGAATTCCAAGGAAATGGAACCTAAGTGGGACCAAGGGTGGGAAGTGGCCTGGGGTCATAGGGAGGCATTGGGTATAGCCAAAACAACTGAATCATGGCCTCACAGGAACACCAGAGATCTCCTTGAGTAAGTGGGAGAATTTAAGGACAGTCCAAAGGTTTTCTAGGGCCCATAGATAAATGGAGCTCAAATTGGGACAAAGGCCTCACTTTGGGTCTATACCCCATCACTAATGCCAAAAGAGACTAAAAACTAAAGTGAGTGCTAATACCAAAGAGACTATTTCTACACAAAAACCACCCCCAGCTTTGGGGAATCTATACAAACAATCCATATCCCCCACCCATGCTTGAGCAGAAGACAATGGGCTGGGAGTTTCATCTTATATTAAATTCCTTGTAAGGCTGGGTGGTGTAACAATAATTAGATTGAGGATAATCTTAATCCTATCTGCTATCATCTGTCCTGTTTGTCCTTCAGAGGCTTGAAATGAGGACTTTAGAAAAAAGGAGAATGCTGCATCTCCCTAAATCATTAGTTATTAATAATCATTTGTCTCAGAATTTGTTAGTTGTATGATGCTGAACAAGGCACTTAACTTATCATTACCCCTAGATAACTTTTTAAGTCTATAAATTGTAGAATAGTTGCTACTCTGCATAGGTAGAGGGGGTTTCATCATTGGGAACTCCCTACAAAGATTAATGATATAAATACAGTAATTTGTGGGAGCAAAGCACTAGCAACTGGGGGAATCAGGAAAAACCTTGTGTAGAAGGAGACATATCTGAGTCATAGAGCTGAATAGGAATTCTAGGAGACAGAGGTGGAGGGAGGGAATTTTAGGCACAAGAGTCAGGTAGAAAAAAGTCATGGAGATGGGAAATGGGGTTCCAGTTATGAGGAATGGAAGAAATGGTTTGACTGGACCATTAGGTAATGTGATATAAGGATGCAAAGATAGGTTGGGGCCAGGTTTTGAAGGGCTTTAAATGCCAAGCAGAGAAGTTTATATTTGATTTTACAGGTAACAGAGAACCATTGAAATTTCTTGAGCAGGAAAGTAGCGTGGTTATGCTTTAGGAAAATTCCTTTGCCAGATGTATAGAGAATAAGCTAGAGTGGGAAGAGACTTGAGGCAGGGAGGTCAATTAGGAGGCTATTTAATTAGTCCATTCAAAGGGTCATAAAGGCCTGAAATAGAGTGGTAGCTTTGTGAGTGGAGAAGAAATATGTTATACAGGGAGAAACAATGAGATTTGGCAACTGAATGGATATGTGGGAGGAAGAGCTGAACATGTCACAGGTATTGTGAACCTAGTTGCCTGGAAAGTTGGTAGTATTTGTGAAAGAAATAGCAAAGTTTAAAATAGGGGCATGGTGTGTGTGTGTGTGTGTGTGTGTGTGTGTGTGTGTGTGTGTATGTGTGTATATGTGTGATGAGGGAGTTGATTGAGGTGAAAGACCAGGGCTGAATATATATATATATCTGGGAGTTATCTGCATAAAGATGATAATAAAATTCCATGCCTAGAATGCTCACCCTCCTTATCTCTGCCTATAGGCTTCTTTGGCTCCCTTTAAGTCTCAATTAAAATCCCGTATCCTGTAGGAAGCCTTTCAAAAGAGTTTTCCCTCTTTTAATTCCTTACTTTTTATCCAGTGTATGTAGCTTGTTTGTACATATTTGTTTGTTTGTTATCTCTGCCATTAGATAGTGAGGTCCTTGAGAGCAGGTGCTTAATAAATGAATATTGATTAATTGACTGAAATATAATTACATTCAACCTTAAGATAGTCTTTTTGCTCGTGCTCCTAACAAGACTGCAAGATGATAGGTCTAAATCTCTTGGGAAATGACATTTCTTGTTACCTTTGGTTCAGGTGCTATCAAACTCTGTCAACTTCTTTATTTTGCCTTTCTGAGAACTTAAGTCTTATCCATCTATCTAGATGAAATAACTAGGTTTTTTTTGTTTTGTTTCAAGTATAGTAGAAATGTCAAATATAAATCTGATCAATTTGTCCAGTGTCATTTTGTTGATCATTGGACATAGATTCCACATTAATAGTACCAGCAGTAAAATTAATGTTTGTAGATTGTCTAGCTATTGTGTAATTAATAACATCTTTTGAATGCTTTCCTATTATTCTTTCATTGTGACTTTTGAATTAGAAATTTAAAATATTAAAAGGAATATTGTTCTTTTGTCCATTTCATGGTTCATTGTCGATAATGAATCCATGGTGTTCAGTAAAAATACATTTTGGGAATATATCCAAGACAAATAATGAGAACTTACTATATCAGTAGATATTGCTTTAGTAGGTGTCATGTGCGATCTCTTTAGGGTATGGATTAGACTAGATGGTCATCTAACTGAAATTCTATAATTCTCCGTGTGAGATAATGGACTGAGTGCCAAACTTGGATTCAAGAAGACATAGATTTGATTTTGCTTCAGGCACTTACTAGCTCTGTGATGCAGGATGACTCACTTAACCTTTATGGGTGTTCCATTTCCTTATGTGTAAAATAAGGAGTTAAAGTTGATGATCTGTATGGTCTCATCTAGCTCTTAATCTCTGATCCTCTCACTTTGGAATAATTCGGATGTATTTTTTCTGAGATTTCGGAGACGATAACTTTCTAGACACACATGCCACTTTTCTCTTCCCACAATGCTATGTGGACTTTTAGCCTAGATGGCTTTTCATTAGCACACAGACCTAACAAGCTTTATTCTCATTATAGCTGTGTTTCCTTTCTGTTTCTCTTAGGGTCTCTTGGCTAGTAGGTATAAAGGTATGGGGTGATCTTAGAGATATTTTGTTAGAAATCAGGTCAATGAAAGAAAATTGCAGAAAAACAGATATAGTTTATATATGAGGGAAGACTTTCTAACCACTAGAATTAGTGATTCTCCTGTCACTAGTGGAACTTTTCAAGAGAGAGTGTGATACAGTGTTAGAGATATTGTAGCAGAGATTTTAAATCAGGAGTAATTACCATAAAAATTTTACTCCTTAGCTAAAGCATAGTCTGATTTGAAATCATTGAATTGTGAGAAATCTTTGCAATAAATTTGACCTATATTCCAGGGATATGGAGAAAAATTATTTAATTAATTATTTAAGGTTATTATAGTATAATATGATTTTGAAAAGTAGGGGTTTATATTGGATTCACTAACTTCTGAAGACATTGGTATTCAATTTATCTTTGCATTTTTCTTAATTCTCTTTCCTATTCTACACTATGTTTGTTCCATTTACCTCTTTCCCTTCTAGATATTTTGCTGTCAAATGCTAATTATTTTCAAGTATCTAAACTATAGTTTCCCTAATTCTGTCCTAAATTTCCTCTGGACTGTGTTCATGTACTCCTTACTAATGTACTTGACACTTAGCCTGAAGGTTATTCAGTCATTTAGTTGTTTCTGTATGACCCTTTTCAAATCTATTTTTGTACAACATTTAAAAAGTGGGACCTGTGTTATAGGAAAAATTTAGGGTTGTTAAAAAAATTCACAATTTTTTGTACAGCATTTAAAAAGTGGGACCTTTGTTATAGGAAAAATTTAGGGTTATTAAAAAAAATTCACAATTTTCCAAAGGCAATATTCCTCCTTCTGTTTAATTCTGAGTCTTGAATTCATCCATCTGCAGTTTCTATCCAAAACAAATACATATACATAATAGTAATAATTAGTAATAATAAATAAATAACATTTGTATCATGTTTACTATGCACCAGACACTCTGTTAAGTGCTTCACAATTTTTATCTCATTTGATCCTTAGTATAATTTGGGGATATAGATGCTATTATTATCTTTATTTGATAGACAAGGAAACTGAGGCAAAAGAGATTTTTCCAGGGTCAGCTAGTAAGTATCTGAGAATGGATTTGAACTCAGGTCTTCCTAACTCCAGGTTTGGCACTCTTGTGAATTTTGGCACATATAATTGTTGCATCTACTAATGCAGGAGCATTGTAGATTTCCATTCAATTGCAATTCTATGCTGGATCTCTTCCATGTCAATGGCAAAGGTCAATGTTTTTAATACCAATATTCTCCAAATGCTATTGTATGGCCAAGGGAAAAGGAACGCTATTATCTTCAAAAAATTAAAAATGAGGATTGCATAGTGAGTATAAGCTGTCTTTAACACATTAAAGAGGAGATTATTAATGATAATTAAAGACATGGATGACAAAAATATATGAGTGAGAAAAGATTATCTGGTCACATTGTTAGATTATAGAATAGAATAGAATACATCATAGAATAGACAATAGGATTACATGGATTGACTTTATGTGCCATTAGGATCTCATGATATCATGAGAATCTGAGGAAGCTCCACCTGGACCATGTGAGGACCCCCATGACAAACATGAGATGAGAGAAACCCAGCAAGCATTGGATGAGATGTGTTCTGCATCTTTGACAGGAACACCCACATCATTCCACTGAAACTGCTCTCTGCAAAGTTAGTAATGATCTCTTATTTGCCAAATGCAATCATTTCCCTTAACTTCTCTGCATTCTTTTTCTTTTCTTTTTTTTTTTTACTATGGATCACTTTTTCTTCCTTGATACTATTTTTGTATGTCCAGTGTCTAGCACAGTATGTAGTACATGTTAGGCACTTATTAAGTGTTTACTGAATTGAATTGAAATCTGATAGGGAGACAATGGGCAAACAAATAAATACAAAGCAAATTACATATGGGATAAATAAAAGGATGGGATTTTAGTTGACAATTAAATGAAACTTGGGAGGCCAGTAGTTTGGGTGGAAGAGGGAGAACATTCCAAGCATGAGAGACAACTAGAGAACCAAATCTCTTTTGTGGAACAACCAGGAAGCTAGAATAAAGTGTAAGAAGTCTGGAAAGGTAAAAGTTACCAGGTCATGAAGGACTTTGAATGTGAGGGACTGTAAGGAAGATGATGTTCTCTAAAGTAATAGGTACAGTAATGTTTAAGGGGGAAGGTTTAGGGAAAGATAATAGTTCAATTTTGAACATATTAATCTAAGATGTTTACTGGACATCCAGTTTGAGATATCCAGAAAGTAGCTGGAGATACAAGATTGGCAATCAGGAGAGAGACTGGG